CATATATATATAATGTAAATACAACTGACTTCCCCCCTATTTCAGCTGAACACGTCGGCCCCTCCGGCCGCCCCGGGCCACAAGCCCCACGCCCCATCCCCCCACCAGGGCAGCTGGAACAAGAACAGCACGGGCACGCTTTCACCCATGTCCCCCACCGCCTCTCCTGCTGGCAGCGTCAGCTCACAGGTAGGTGCTCTCAGCCGTGTGGCCACGAAGCCACGCTATGATTCTCCTGTACCGGCTAGTTGGTCAGCCCACTGATGTGTGGTCTGCCAGCTAAGCCATACTATGACAGGGCTCCCAAACCATTACGAATTTGTCGGAATCAATACTATTTTTATTCAAATTTTCTTCCCTAATCCGTACTATTGTCATTTTCCTTTACTTCTTTTGTATGTTTGTCATACTCTTGTGGCCCGCTATTTCCGGGGTTCCTTGATAGTCGAAGCAGACTTTGTGCTGTTGAGGCTAGAGAGGTGATCAGAGTAAGCCCAATTCCCTGTAAAGACTCCTCTGTTGACATCCACACTTTGGTGCTCATATGACCTTATGCATTTGCGAGCGCCGTAAAAGCTCTACTAAAACAAACAAAAACCATTTTACGGTCGTAATAACCCGGATTCCAGTGTTTGAAAAAGCTGACAACCCAAACCCACTGCTAACGCTCCTGGTGTACAAGGGTAGAGAAATAGAAAAACTGCCAGACCCAGACAGCCATGTCACTATGTCACATGCACTTGCCTAGCTGTAACAGTTATTAACTCCCTGTGTGCATTGAGCCCTAGTAGTCGCTTAGGTCCGCTCTGCCCTTAGAAAAAAATATTAGACTTTATAGGTGCCAAAGCCAGGAGTAAGGCAAACATTAGATTGACAAAGTGTTTGAAAATTCCTGCCCCTTATTTTATTATCATGCCTTTGTTTACGTTACATTTATATAAAACCTTCATCCTTGACACCCTGTTGAAGAAGATTTTCCACATTGTACTAATTTTCTGTCTGTTGATTACTTATACATATGCTGGTGGGTGGGCAGCCGTGCTATGATCCTGCTGCACTGGCTGGTTGGTCAGCCCTCTGATGTAGTAAGCTTCTGTGCCCCCCACACACACATTTCCGAAAGTTTTTTCGTTTAGAGCATTTCTTTGTTAGTTCACTTAGCGTCACTCAAAAGACAAATACATCAAAGATCCCATAGTGGTTCAAAATCGATAAGAGTAGACTTCGGCTGCCACCTAGGCAAAATTCAAAATTTCCTAACAACTGAAAATGTTTTTGTCCCACATGCTCATATGACCTTATGCAGTTGCGAGTGCCGTAAAATACTTACGAAAAAAGAAGACAAAAAAACAAAAGAAAAAACAAAGACAAATTCTGTCTTGAAGGTTAAAATTTAAATCTCTTGATTGTGCTGTTTGCGATAGAAAGAACTGTACATTTTAAACCGTCATTTTTTATTATGTGTTTGTCCCATCTTCAGGGAAGTGGCGAGCAGGTCACAGGGAAAATGCTGAATGGAACCGCCAGCTCTTCCTCCACTCCCATGACCTCTCCGTCCCCGGGTATTGTCAGCGTGCAGCAGCGACTTCTCAGCATGTACTTTCGGCTGACCAACCCAATGGTCACCTCTCTGGAGTTGTGGGACCAGGCCAATGCGGAGACCACCAGGGACCTTCAAGGTGAGTTGGTGATTGGTCCCCCCCCTGTGTTTTGTGTAATACGTTTTTATGTTGGTGGGTGCAAATTTTTTTGGTGTCGCTTAAAGAATTTATAATGTTTGAAGCTTTATTTTTCCCATTGATGTGAAAAAAAAATGTCCTTGAGTAACTCCCAAATTGGGTCATAAAAATGAAGTAAAATGACCTGCAAAATCTTTCATTTTCTTATTGTCATGTGGACATGTGAATGTTTTGTAAATGTATCTTCTTTTGGCTCAGTGCCAACAATTTTGCTGTCATGTACCCTTTGACAACAGTATTTCAAAAGTGTTTTCCCCCGTTTCTTTCCCCCCTCCCCTACATTTTCAGAGTTCTTCAAAACTGTGGACGATGCGTGCGGAGAACTGTCATTCCACTCTCTCCCCCCCGTGGTGGTCCGCTACATGGAGTATGCCCTCCGCGTACTTCACTTGTGACGTCGGTGGCCGTGAGAGGAGATAACAGTGGCCACAATCGTGTTTTGTCGCCGCAGGACATCTGATGGGGCGGGCTGTGTTGTACCTGTGTGTGTTGAAAAGGCTGAGACTGGAAACGTAAAGAGACACTGGGGTTGCACATATCTGAAGTTGCCCACACCTGGCATTTATAAGTTCAGCAGCATTTGTACAGGAAGTTGGGGTTTTTTTTTGGTGGGGAGGGTGTTTAGAAACATAAAAAAACCCCAAAACCCTAGTAGGAATGCCAGAAAAATGCTAGTGCCTAAAATATTTTTGCAAAGAGCTCTGAACAATGAGTTGGGTTTGTGTTTTGGTTGTAGTACTGCTGTTGTCTCCCCTGGACCGTCTTGCTCAAGGACTTTTGGTCACTCACTTGTTGAACAGGAGGATACTGTGTAATGCTCAACGGATTTGGCCCTCGCATCATCGCGACTTGTCTCAAGTTGCTGGGGCTGGAGTTGCTCAAGGGGTCGTTCATCATCCCTCGGTTTTCTTGCCGTGACCAACGTCTGGAGTCTGTGAGTCGTGGAAGCTGCTAATGGGTTCGTTGTGTTATGATAATTATTTCCATGGGCCAAAGGGGCTGAGGTGGTTAGTTCATTGTACAGATGCAGCTACGTTTGTAACTTTGAGACTTCCAGTGTAGGGACAAAAAATATTCAGTTTTTGTGACAAAGAAACTCAGAGTCTTTGTAAAGGTTTTATGTTTGAGTTGAGTTCGGCCGTTCAAAGAGGGACTTGGGCGATGGGCACACAAGATTTTGGAGTTTCTTCGTGCTGTGAGGATTGGTCCAGAGGGAGAGAAGGGCAGGAAGTGTTGTCGCTGATACAGCTAAGTGTTGACTCCACACAAGAATGGGCACAAGTCAAAGATTTTTTCTGTCTTTCAAGTGTATGGAACACGAGAGATGGATCGGAATGCCTTGTGAATATTTTGTGAAACGAGTTGTGAGCCGTGAATATTTGTGATCTGACTCTGACACTTGGAACCCCGTGATAGATTGCTCAAAGTGACAAGAATCTTGTGTGAATTTGCCTGACATCAGGATTTTAGTACTGCCGCAAGCTCAGAGACCAAAACATTGCAGGTCTGTCTTGAGGCGCCCTGAAGACTCTTACCAGAAATGTTGTTGTACTTGTATCGAGGTACATATCTTCTCTGATCTGTTGTGTGGCGTGGTGGGTGGGCCAAAGCTGACCAAAGGCGTCACAGTCATAGACCAGGTGTGGCGTCCTTGTCTGCCGGAGTTCTGCTTGAGATTGTGATTTTTGTTGTGGGTGTGGTGTTATGTGTGTTCCTGTATGGGTATGATTTAGATTTGAAGTCTGTGGAAGTTTAGACTATTGTAGACTGATGAACTACGAGAGTTCAGATGTATTTACAGTGATGAGACTTCACACACATACACAGTAGATCTCCAGATAACGGGCAAAATCTGCAAGAACATTTTGCAGTCTTCTTTTCCCCTTGTTAATTATGACAGAAAATTGAGTCAGATATTCTTTGCCTGTCTCCTGATGTTTGTCCCATTTTTGTTATACTCTTATTACTTACACCCCCCCCCCCCCCAAGAGTGAACAAGCTAGTAAATGAGCCAGTGTTCTCCCCGGTACCCAACTCGTCTCCTCTAGCACGTGTGCTTTATGAATACTCCATAAAAATTGTTCACTCTAGACCACACTCCAGCGCCTTTTGTCTTCGGTCAAAAAGTATTTCTTTCTTTCACAGAAATGCTAAAGTGATGAATGATATCGATTTATTTATTTGCTCTCTGATATTGTAAATACTTGTCAAGGTTTCTTCTGTCAGGTGTGCTACAATGCAGTATTTTGTAGGTGCAGGAAGAGAATGCCTGAAACATATCAAATGTTTTTTGTTCTCACCACAGTGGAGCACCTGGGCCTGTGCTCAGTGTTGTGTGGTAGAGTCTTTTGTCTTTTTAGTGAGATTTTTCTTTTCCCCAGTCTGCTGAGAGTAGACTCAGGTTGTTACTGTAGAAAAAACCCCCCAAATGTTAGCAAATGTTAGGGAGCCCTGCATCGTACTCGTACACAGTCTAGACAATGATTTTGTACTGCCGAGGGAATATCGGGATCAGTGGGATGACTGTGTTTGCCCCCGACCTGTGAGTTAGTTAGTGAGGATGCCTTTGAGACTCTACCTTTGGGAGGGGGAGTTTTGGGTTGTGTCTGATCTGATTACACCTCGCATTTTATCGGGTTTTGCATTTTTGGTGGTCAGCTCAAGTAACTGCAACAGCGTTGTCAGCTATTATTTTATTAGCAAGAATATTTAACAGATATTTTGACATTATTTTTTTTCACTTTCTGCAGCTGTCAGTACAAAATCCATGCTGCAGTGTTTCCCCTTTGTGGTAGTTGATAAAAAAAACTAGAATGGGCGCTCATGACTGTTGTATATTGTGTACTCCTGTAAAAGTGCAGAGAATGTTATTGAAAAAAGGGTGAGAATATTTTTGGTGGTATATATATCAATGGTTTGACATTGATGGTCCTCCCCCGTGAAGAAAAGTGTACAGGGTTTGACTTTACTGATAGGGATACAGTGTAGTTTCATTCCATTGTCTTCTTTCCAATTTTTTTTTTTTTTCTGTTTTTTTTTGGTGCCCCTTTACACTTCAGGGATGTAGTGGACACACATGCCTGATGAGCAGCGGACCAAAGGCAATGTTGCTGCACAGTTTGTACCATCATATATATTGTATAAATCAGAAACACAAACTTGCATATTTCATAGTATGCACATTGTTGCCTGCTTTTTCTTCGAGTTAAAAATAAAGAAAACAAAGAGTTGAAAAATCTGCACGAATAGGGAAGTTATGCTTCATTTTGTTAGAGTGCCACAAAACAGCAGGTCTTCTAGACTTGTTTAATGACTAGAATATGTGTCCTCAGTGAGTTCAAGTAAGGTGTCAAAGAAAGAGTTGTGTTAAAGGTGAACAAATTTAGTGAGTGTCAATGATGAACAGCCTCTGTATTGACCTGTTTAGAGGTCCTTCAGGATTTTGCACTTGTAGAAAAACAAGTCTGGGGTACGTTTCCAAGTGTCTTCTGTAGCAAGGGCGGAAAACAAGCACAATCAATGAGCACATGAACAGTTGTACGCTTTGAGGTTTGGGGTTTTCTAAGGCATGTTGACATTTATTGTACATAACATTTAGGGCATTTATTTCTTATTCTTCATGAGTTGAGGTTTTTTTTTGTTGTTGTTTTTTTTGTTATTGGAGAAGGGGTCTAAATAAGAAACAATTTGAAGACAATTTTGTAGGAAAAAGTGTCTCCTTCCTCTGGTGTGATCTACTCCTGTTTCCTTTACCACGGTCCTAGTCTGCTTCCTAATGAGATGTGGTGGTTTGTCGCACACCGCAGGTCGGCTCAACAGTCCCTTGGTCTTTTGATATACATGTGGCAGTGTGGGAGGTGAAGTTGTAAATCGGAGTGGCTGTTTGAATAGGTGAGACCTGAGAGTGCTCAAGTATCCGACTTGCTAGCATTATGAATTGTTAAAGTTAAACGAGGGCTTCCGTGGATGTTGTGCTGTTTGCATCTTGAGTGTGATGGGAGGATGGGAGTGTGATGGAAGTTGATCCACTTTCCTTTGAAGACGGTGCGATAGTGGAAAAGTAGACAAAGGCTTTCTACGGAGTAACCATATGTATTATTACATTCATATTATGTTCATTTTTATTATAGTCACTCTGAAACACAGAGAGCATTCAGATTGGTAGATTCTGGTCATGTGAGAAACTGGAGTTCATACGGTCCACCACTCTAATCATCTAAACTGAAGTATTTAGATAGTTTTAAATAATGTGAATAATAGTATGTATGTCCATTGATTTTAATTTGTGTTGTATTTATGGAGGAAATGTACCTTTCGTTTCCTTACATACTGGGGGTATTTTTGGTCTGCAATCCCAATTCATAAGGTAGAACAGATCATTGGTGTGTGTGTGTGTGTGTTGGACAAGTTAACTTTTGTTTTATTTTTAGGGGAGAAAGAGGGAAACTTTTCTTTTTCCCCCTTGCGCATATTCATACATTCATAATAAACACCTTTTTCATACTATTTTTTGTTGTGAAATGTTTGGAAGTTGTTTGGAAGTTGATGGAACAGAAGGCTAGGTGGGGGAATTCAGTTTCTAGTTTTGTTTTCATGGATGCATGCTGTCTCTATTAATAGAACAGTTCTTTCCTCATTATTTTTTGTTCATACTCCTAGGTTGCATATGTCTCGTGTTAAAAGTTTTAGTTAACAATGCTGCAAAGGTTTACTTGCACAATTTGTTTATTATAGATTTTACAATACATTAAGAAAGTAGAGGGCTTCAAACTAGTTTGATTTGAAAAGGATTAAAAGAATGTAAAAGTTGCTCCCTTCGTTTGTACAAGTAAAACTTTTTTGTTGAACTACATCAACGGTTGAAAAAAAAGGAAACAAAGTTGGTGGTCCCCCCCCCCCACCCCCACCCCTCACCCTCCACAAAGTTTTCAAAGTTTTTGTTTATTCTCTTGGTAGACTGCTGAGATGTACAAGTACAAATCCCATATATATCTCCTTTCTCCTTTTTCTCCTTGTACAAAAACCTTGTGTATATAATGTATCTTATTATTCCTTCTGTATTCAGAGTCCTACGAGAGAAGGCTTTGCCTCTGCAAGCTTAAGCCATGTTGTCACCATTATCACATACAGCCCTGTGGCTACACACTGGCTGCTGTCTTGTTCATGTTTTTTCCTCATGTGTACTTTAGGCTAGGATTTATGAGGATTGTATGATGGGCAGGTGTTTAGATGTACTTAGCTCGAAATTGTGAATTTGTTTTTTTCTTTAAAAAAATTATTATTGCAAGTTTTCTTAATCTGTTGTATAGGCTGCAAGGAAGGGGAGGGGGGTGGGGGTGGAGAGATAGTGGAGAGAGAATGGTAAAGGGTGGGGAGATGAAGGGGAGAAAACTTTGAGAGTTAACGAAGAAGGTTGAGAAAGAAAGAGAGGGGGAGGAGGGAGGAGTAAGGGAGAGAAAACTGTTTTGTTGATGCATTCTCTTGTCTTCCAAAGGTCATGTTGCTCTGTCTTAACTGTTTGTGTTGTGGGGGGCCTGCCAGCCAAGCCCCAACAACCATCCCCAGTGTACTTCCGTCAAAATTTTCCACTTTTGCACATTCGCTATTCAACATTCCCTTGGCTTTTGGACCCTCATTTTTCTATGCTTTGTCTGTACCCCCTCCTCCAGAAAAGATGTTTTAAAAGTGTAGGATCTGTAGTAGCATTATTGTCAGGAGATAATAGTATTTTCAGAATTGGCACTTCTTTTGGTGGACTTTTTTTAGTATTTAGAACCCGGGACAAAGTTACAACTACATTAATGTGATGCTCATGACAGAGCACATTTGTCACAGGCTTTGTTGATGTCTCTCAACTATGATGAAAATGCATTAAATGTTTGTTTGTTGTAATATTCTTGGTAAAAATGATGTGCTCATTGTTAGTTGCACTTGACTTTCTTGCCAAAATGAGGAGCAAACAGAGATGAGTTACTGGAAGACATTCAAAATGACCAGTGCCTGCCTAAGCATCCGTGAAATTGGGCATAATTTTGTGTAAAAATAAGTTTTCTGTTGCTGATTTGTAACTAATGTGAATGAGCAAATACGTCTTTTACATCTGGGAGTTTTTTGGTTCTCATAAAACAGAAAGAAGAAAACATACTTTTCTGTGCAAACTATAAAAAACCATTCTGTTGGTGTTTTGTGAGTAATGAAAGTGATTCTCTATGTTTGAACTGTATGTTGCTGTAGTGGACCGGCTGCTGGTGCCGGAGCAAAGGTTAGTGTGTGGTTGTGAGTTTGGAGCTGTTCTGTATCTCACTTTGTCTCCAGCAGTGTTGAGAGTGTTTCCTTCTACTTATTTCTCTCTCTCTCTGCTATGAATAATGTGGTGAGACTGTTGTAATTTCCAGTGATGTTTTGTATTAATGTGTAGAGATTGACATTCGACTGTGTGCAACTGCTGCCTTCAACAGTCTGCGAAATATTTTTTTTCTCCGAAATTCTTGTGGGAGAGTCTACTCTTCTGATCTTTAAGGTATGCTTTTTAAACAAAAATAAACTAATTTTTGCCTACGATTGTTCTTCCTTCTCTCGCCATATCTGTCTAAATGTTTTGTGTATCTGTCAATGCGTCAACATTTTTCGAAATCACACTGTAGCCGTGATCTTATCAAGGTCAGCTCTGTTCTATCTCAAGCCCAACATCTAGTCAGCCTGGTCAGCCTGAAGCGTTTCCTCTTGTACTAGTCCTTTCTGGAGTGGTGTCATCACAATCTTATATCTGTGAGATGTGGATGATTTTGTTTGATTCTCATCGAAGTTGGCATTGATCTCTCTTCTGTGTGTATTTGCATGTGTGTGTGTATGTGTGTGCATTAGTACGTGAGTGCAGACTATTGGTCCATTTGTAAAGTGTTGACTGTGAAGTTATCAGCTGACTGGCCATGTTTCAGTGTTTTTACATTGTTGTATGAAAATTAATTCTCTGTCTTATCTGTTTGACTTTTTCATAAAAAATGGTTTCATCTCGGTGCGTGCACCATGCCACAAAAGTACTGACATAATAAACTTCAGTGCAGCCATGTATGCTTGTCATCCAACTGCTATGCATTCTCAATATTTGAGGTCAGCTTCTTTCCCTGAACAAGAACCTTCACATCTTTGTAGGTGGAAATTCTTGACCATGTCAAATTCTTTTGTCTCTGAACGTTTCAGCTTATTCAGTTTTAGAATAAAATTGGGAGTCATTTGTGCCACCTTGGTCAACCAGAACTGAAAGAAAACCGGTTGCCCTCCTTTGCAAATTATGTCCTGATTGCTTTTCCTGTAGATCTACTTTATGAGAAAGTTTCTCTTGCTGCTGAGGGATGCATCCACCAGCCTTTTTTTTTGTGTGTGATATCTTTTCTCATTATGTCTCGGTGTTGTTCTCTGATCTGCTGTTCTAAACAGCTCTTGTTACTGTTGTGGTTTCCATTCTGTGGGCATTCTGTAACCTCATTCTGCCATTTCCTTTGGAACCAGTTGAAAGCGAGAGTGTGCCTGAGAACAGATGCGCCTGTCGTACTTTCTGTTTTGTCGGCTCGTCGTTCGATGCCTGATGCTTAGATTGTCTTTGACTGAAGTGACTTTCATGACATTTTAAAGTGTCTTATATTCTAGTGCTTTTTCTGCTCATGGTAATGGATTGGGCAAACTTTCTGTCCCTGTCGACTCACTCAATATTGCGTCAGATTTTGTGGTTTTTAGAACAGTATTTTGAAGTGTTAGGTACTTAATTAAGTGTATTGATTGATACATATGCTTGCAGTTTTGGAACTTTTCTGTTTTTGAGCAATGATAGTGCCAAATTTAGTTATCTGTAGAGTGAGATATGGGACAAGGCCTTAAAGAGAATGTTGAGGCCTTAGAGGAGATGAGTGATTTGAAAGTTTCGTGAATAGTGCTGGCTGAACAGAATTATGAGCTTTGTGAAATTTATGAAGATACTTAACCTGAACGGATAAACCAATGTAAATGTTGATACAACTTATAAAGTGACGACATGTGATACAGATATAGATCAAAAGGGTATTTTCTATTTTTATTGAATCAAGTTTTTTTTTAAGGGTTGAGTTGGTTATGAATGGGAGGAAAAGAAATAACTGAGTGTACTGTTTCCTTGAATCAAAGTTTGAGACCTTGAAAGCCGAACAATACGATATTTTTGAGCAGGTTTCTTTTGGTGAATAGGGTTATTTCATTTTAAACCAGCTATCAAATTGTTACTGAAAGATCTCTGCAATCTCTTGGAAGTGTCTTAGATGTGGTTTTCTCTGAACAGAGAACTTCACGTGGCTCTCCGCATTTACCCTTTGGCCAAGTGGTGCCTTGTTCCTGTTCTGAACTGAAGATAAAAATACCATATTGTTGTTTACTCAACTGATATTTTTTGTTGTGAAAAGGCATGCTGGTTCAAGGGTTCTAAGTGTTTCTGTCTCTTGTGGAATTTCTAAAAAGTTTAAAAGATTTTTTGCATGGGAGGGCAATACAAAAATTATGTGTGTTTCCGTTGTTTCCTTTCTGGTTGTTCGTTATTGTTCATTTGTTGTATGTTTGTGATTTGAGACCATAATTAATTTTTTTTTAAAACCAATTTAATTCATTTAAATATTAGGCCTATTGTTTTTATTTGTTTTTTAAATAATTTATTTGGTAATTTTTTGGGGGGTGTTTTTTTGTTCTTCTTTTGATGGGTTACATGTTATTTGAAAAGTTCACACAATGTTATTGTCACTAGGGAAAAAGTTATGTTCCAGGAAGTGATCAAGTGATAAGGGGTGTTACTGTTTCTAATTGGTCGGTAGGTTTGTGATAGGATTGTTGTTTTTGTTTTTCTTGTTGTGAACTCATTAATGTTAGTGGTCTTAGTGGAGTTATTGGCAGGTCATGTGTCACTAAAAGTTTGGTGCACTCTCTAAAACCCTGATCCAGCATGCCTTCTGAAGATCTGGTCCTAACAGTATTTACACAAAAAAGACATTGGATATGTCTGCAACACCATCAGAAAGACGCCATGATAGAAATGAATTTTGTCATTGTCATGTTGTTTGAATCAAACTTGTTGTACGTGTGTTAAAAGTGTTGTTTATCCAAATTTATCTCATTTGATGGAGTTACTGGTTATTTTAGGGTAAAGAGAAAAGTACATGCTCTTCTCTGAAAATGCAGTCCCAACCCCCCCTCCTCTTCTTGTTCTTGAAATTCCTGATACCTTGAGACGCTGTGTTGTGCATTCTAGAGAAGCCATAGTGATCCTCAGTTGCCATATTTGACAATAATGCCTGTTTCTCCGCTTGTCTGCTCTGTCCATTTGCCTTGCAGGTTGGCTTCTTATGTACCGTGTAGGTCGCCTCTAGCTGCTCGAAGATCGCGACAACAACAGCAACATCAGCAACAGCAACAAACATGCTTCCCCCCCCCATGTACCCTTCAGCAGTGGTATTATTGCGAAGGAAAATCCATCTGACTGGTCTGCCCTCTCCAGTTGCTTTTGTGCAGAGTTGACGTGAAAAGTAACCATTCCATCTGCCTGTGATTTGTAGACGTAGTTGGACAATCTCATTCCTCACTCCTTGCTCTCTGATCAATTCTTTTTCTGTTGTCTTTTTGCCTTGGGACTAGCATGTTTATAGTCTAAAACAGCTTTACAGCTCTCAAACAAAACACATTGCTTGTATTTCTGCACAGGGTGTTTCTGATTTCCAAAAGCCTCTGTGCTTCTACTTTCCTTGGAATCATGAAAACTGCAGCCTCAAACTCCATTTTTAGTTTTTTCACTACTGACCAAAATCGTTGTTTTTTTTCGGGTACCTTCAGATTTTCTGTACTGGATCTATTGAGAAGAATGTTCAGAATCCTAAGTTTTTCCCCCTCTCATACTCACTATTTCCCGAAGTCATTGCCTCTGCGCACTTGTCTTAACCCCCCCTCAATTATTTTTTTTATGTGTATAGTTATTTGGAAGGTTATGCTTTAGTTTTCAACTTATGTTTGGTTTCTTCTTTGAGTTTTACATTTTTGCAAGCATTGACAGATGCTCACGTCATTGGGGGTGGAGGGGTGGGGGGGAAATGTCTCCATTGCCAGCTAAATATACTCGCATACCCTGTCACTGTTGTCATAGGAAAGCAATGGTTGTGGTTTTGTAAACTCACTGGCCCGTGCATGTTTCTTGTCACTTTGCAGCCACTTGCAATTGTTCAGAGTTGCCTTCTCTCTCTCTTGATGCTCTCACGACGTCAGAGTCTTAGAAATCGTCTGCTTATACCTGTATATTTGTACACAAAACCGTGAAGCAAGCTGCTTGCATTTTGTATCCCCCCCCCCCCCCAAAGGTGCTTTGAGTCTAACCATTTGTTTGATATGTAAATCAGAGCAGTGCAGGAGAGAACACATTAGCCCTCTAATGTTCTCTCAGCCTTTCCATGACATTTGGCATAATACTGTGGAGTCACCCAGCATAGGACAAACACATACAAGAATGATACCAGTTCTCTCTTCTTATCTATTCCTCTGCTACTTGGTTCCACTATATTTTTAATTTGTTGACTCTCTTCATCACTTGTTTTCTCTCTCTCTCTCCGTCTCTCTCTCTCCGTCTCTCTCTCTCTCTCTCTCTCTCTCTCTCTCTCTCTCTCTCTCTCTCTCTTTCACTCTCTCTCTCTTTCACTCTCTCTCTCTCTTTCACTCTCTCTCTCTGTTTATCACCTTGTGTCTGTCTATCCATATGTCTTCCTCAGCTCTGGGGCTACCATCCGTCAGAAAGGAAACCATATCCCCCCCATATTCTTTGCATTGTTAGATAATGTGATGTATGTGCGAAATGTATGTTGTGCGTACAGACAAACTAGTACACACTCTCACGCCAACAGAACTCCTTATCCAGTTCATGTCTGTGTTAAGTGATGCCTCAAAACAGAAGTCGGTGAAAAAATGCACAATATTTACCCTCTCGTGTGATGTTTGTACAAAGTAAACTCTCTCTACGATGATTTGTAAATACGTATACATATATTCCTTTGTGCCCTTCTCGCAAAGCCTTTGTGCCCTTGCTGCTAGGCAAGACAAAGCCAGCGAAATGTTGCAAAGTTTCACCAGAGCTCTCTTTACTTGTGTGTGTCAGACATTGCTAGATTACATGCCGAGAAAGACTTTTACGTCGAAGTCGGGCTTTAATAATAAAAATGTTCCATATTGCTTCTGTATGCATGTGAAAGGTTGTGGAAAGTAAGGAATGATATCTACTTTGACGTCGCATTTGCTATTTATACAAAGTTTTTGTTGCTTTAACTTTGGTCTTTCCTTCAGTTTTTCTCATTTCACCACTTCTTGTTCATATCTGTCAGACAGGGCTGCACAGCGTTTAGAGCTTTCTCTCTGAAAATGGAATGTTCTCGGTCACAATATTTATTCGTTATTTTCCTGTTTAGTCGACTGCAACCACTTTGTCAAATTTCTACGCGGTTAGTCGTCCGTGGTTTTAACAAAAGATGCTCAAGATTAGAATGTGTTGACAGG